TCTAACCGGTCAGCACTGTGTCACAGGCACCTCTGAACAGCACAATAACCAACCCCACTGGTCCACAAAACAAAAGGGCCTCTGTGGCAACAGGCTGCCACAGAAGAGACACTACCATGGAGACTATTTGTGATCCTGTAAGAAATATCCATTGTATTTCACATCCCTTTGTTCTGAAAGCAGTAGGAAATATCTCACGTCCATTCATCACGAGCCAACGGGTTATCCCAAGTTTAGAGTTTGGGAATTGGAAAAGTGTTAAAACTCACCAAAAATAGTCTGGGACCAAAAATCTGCCTGGGATAAGAAAAGTAGAAAGGAAAGGAAACATCTTTCAGCTGAGCTGGAAGAGTACCCACAACTACTCAAGCTTCAACTTGAGAATTAAAGTATGAAGAAAAGGGAGTTACCTGCACTATCCAAGTAATTATTAGTTTTGGAATAAAGCACGTGGGTGCATGTATACACAAGTACAAGAAGAACTGAAGAGAAAAAGAGAAGAGATTAAAGCCGACTTCTTGTGGGTAATACAACAACTTTTAATTTGGTTATAGGCATTTGCATTCTTTTTTTACATCCGTGAACCTTGTTTCAGTTGTCCTGAGTTGCACTGCCTGTCTTCCCTGAATTCACATGTGAAAGAATATTTTCTGGGTAGGTGCAGTACAAGGAGGTTGCAGACAAGGCATGTTGTTGCTGTGATCAAGCATTTTTTGGATGTGTGCAAGGCCCACGTGTTCATCCAGCACCGCAGGGCCAAATGACATTCCAGGAGCAGCTGCCCAGCCACGACATCCACACTCAGTGCACCTTCCCCGCAGGGAAAGCTGAAGCTCTTATCTCAGATTTCTACCTGAAAAAAAAAAAAATCTGAGACAATCTTACTTGAAAACATTTTGTAACCCATTCTGTGCATTATTTACTCCAAGATAAGAATACAGAAGTTCTGTGAATTCACTCAAACCCGGGCTACAAATCTGATGGTAAAAACTTGGGGGTTTTACTTTTTATTCTTTGTGGATATGCAGAAAGAATTTTTATAGAAGTTAGTGCATTTTTGATCTGAATGAAGATTTGGTTTTATTTTTTTCTCTGACTTTTTTTTTTTTAAATTTAGGTATCATTCTTTCAAAGTTGCAAGTGAACATCTCAGTCAGTATATGATCTCAAACTTATTTTTGGAACACATAAAAATACCAAAAGGGTTCTCTAATCTTTTGATGAGATAAAATTACTTCTGAAGGATAAAATTAGCACGCTGTAAATTTTCCAACAATTATATTTTTACAGCCCTAGCATGTATATTATACAGTGTATTTTTAAAGTATCAGTACTCTGAAATATACATTAGATACATCTTCTGCAAGCTATATTTTGAATAAAATTTTAATGCGATTATTTTTTAAATCTCATTATTTAGGAAGAATGATTCATATTGTATAATCTTGTTATTACAAGAAATAAAATATTAATGAAACAGACATCCTGGTTTTGGCTAGGCTAGAGATAATTTTCTTCCCAGTGGCTGGTTCAGTGCTGTGTTTTGGATTTAGTATGAGAACCATGTTGGTAACACACTGATGTTTTATTTGTGGCTCAGCAGTGCTTACCCTGAATCAAGGACTTCTCAGTGTCTCATGCTCTGCCAGTGAGGAGGAGCACAAGAAGCCAGGGGGGAGCACGGCCAGGACAGCTGAGCTGAAATGGCCAGAGGGATATCCCATACCATGGAATGTCATGCCCAGTGTATAAACTGGGGGGAGTTGGCCTGGAGGCACAGATCACAGCTCAGGGCTGGCTGGGCTTCAGCCAGTGGGTGGTGAACAATTGTATTGCGCATCACTTGTCTTTCTGGAGGTTTATTCCTCTTTTTTTGTTTTTTGTTGGTTTTTTTTACTACCTCCTTTTTTGGTGGTTTTTTTTTTTTTTTTTTTTTTTTTTTTACTATGAACATTGTTATGGTTATTGTTCCCATAGTGTCCTACTTTATTTCAATTATTAAAATGTTGTTATTTCAATCTATGGGTTTTAACTTTTTCTGAATCTCTTCCCTATCCCACTGTGGTGGGGAGAATGTGAGTGAGAACCTGTGAGGGGGTTAGGTACTGGCTGGGGCTAAAACATGACACAGAATTAAAGAAAAAATGGTTTGAAGTAATTTAAATTTGAAATTTAGATTCCAAAATCAGGAGGGAAGGGACTGATGGATCGAAAGCACACTGATCCCACCACCCAGAGCTCAACAAACAGAAACGAGCATGCGCCATCTGTATATTTTGAAAAACAGGAAAGAAAGTACAGGATAAGGGGGACCAGCTTTTCAAGAGATTATAGGTTACCAATAAAAATCTGCTTTGTGCTGCACTAATCAGTATATTCATAAATGGTCTCAAAAAGAGATGAGCAGTCAGTGACAAAGCCTGATGAGGCTATTATTTTGGTTAATAAAGATGAGACCACCTTGATTATGTGCAGGAAAGTTTAAGGGAGTGACTGACTGATAAAATTGCAGTGGAGGTCAGTGTAGATGCAATGTCCTGCACAAGAGGAAAAGGGCCCTTACTTCAGGTATGAAATGGCAGGATCTGATCTGGTCATTTCTTCTCAGGAAAGATCCTGGAGTTATGAAAACGGCCCTATAGGAACATCTACCTGGTCATCACCAGATGAAAAATTAAAATAAATAAAAAAATACTAGTAAGTAGTAAGAAATCAGCCAAGAACAAAACAAATAACATCTTTTTGCTGCCACAAAAATCCATATTTTGCTTGCATCTTCTGTATAGGTAAAGAACCATAGAAATATTGGTTGAGAGGGACCTCTGCAGGTCACCCAGCTCAACCTTTCCCCTGCAGCAGGACTACTGCCAACACCAGATCAGATCAGCTGTGGCTTTGTTTATCTGAGTGTTGGAAACCACCAAGGATGGTGATTCCACAACCTGCCTGGGTCATTTGTTCCAGTGTTGCATATTCCCTTTGCTGAGGAAATTTTTCCCCATGACCAGTTTGAACCTCCCTAGCTGCAGTTGTAGCTCACAACACAGCTGCCCTATCCAAGTAAACTCCTTGTTTTCTACTTGCCACTGCCAAGAAGTGTTTGGCTGCATCTTCCTTCAGATGCTTTTCTGGTCCCTGAACATCAGCAATAGGATGGAAAACAGGAACATTTTTGATGTAAAGCTTGGCTAACTTAAATAGAATTCTTTAGAGTGGAGATGAGTTACAGAGTATGTGATAGAGAACTAGTGAGCATCAAATGAAGATAGCAGTTGCCAGGTTGAAAAGACACTAAAAGAGGCAAGATTTTGCACAAAGATGTTTGACCCGGAGAACTTGTCACCAAAGCAAGTTGTAGATACTACAGATCCATGTAGGTTAAAGGGAAAATGGGAAGGAACCCAACAAAGAAATCTAGTGAAGGTTGCTAAGATCATAGAAACTGCACCTGCTTTATAAAATCTCTGAGTCTGAAATATTGGTGGCCGTGAAATGCTGGAGGGAACTACTGCCTTCAGTAATGCAACCCAATATTGGTCTAGCAAAGCCCTTGGTCCCACCCACTGTGGAAGCTCTTATGTTCAATATATTGTTTGTAAAACTTCACCACTTTGCCTGCATTTCTCTCTTGCCTTGTTACTTACATCGGTAATTCTTCAGGTCACTTTCTCTGGCACACAAAATGTTATTATATTATTACTATTTTGCTTTGTTTTTAAGTTGTGCGCACAAACAGCATACCCAGAACTGCAAATGAAATCTACATTTTGAAGAAATAAGCCTCAATCTTCAAAATGAAACTGCAAGCTGCAGTTTGCTGGTCAAAGCCTTATTTCCAACCTGTTTACAAATTTGGTTCCACTAAGTTTTTGAAGTTAAGACTTTTAAAGGAAGGATATGCCTATGATTAAAAACACAAAGCAGCACTCTGGAGATCTCATTCTGATCTCCAGCAATGCCACAAATTTCCTGCTGGTTTTGGCAAATCAATGGGCCTTCATTTAGTATGAAATGAGTTTTCAGCAGATGAACTCAATGGAAGTGCTTGTGTTAAGCACTAGCAGAACTGCTCAGTGAGGTGACTTTTCACCTTGTCTGTCTGCGTGGCAGTGGACAGCTTTGGGGAGGGCCCTGCTGTAGTGCCAGGAGGTGATCCAAGGAGGAGAGATCTCCACACGAAACTTTCTGCCCTGGGAGGAGAAACCACAGGAGCACCGAGGGAAAGGAGCAATGCAAAGAGCAAAGAGTGATGAAGAAAGGAGGAAGGTGCTTCTCACCTGGCCTCTGAGGCCCAGACGAGCGGGAATGGTGCAGAGGAGGGGACAGGGAGGGTCCCTGAGGAGCAAGGCGCACCAGAGGAGCGGGGCTGGGAGACAGGGGTGAGGGCACGGGGAGCGGGCAGGCCACGGTCTGTGGGATCGCCATTCCCGCTCCTCGCCCTGCCCAGGAGCGCTCCGGGGGGACAGGGGGAGCGGGCAGGCCACGGTCCATGGGAGCGCCATTCCCGCTCCTCGCCCTGCCCAGGAGCGCCCCGGCGGGACAGGACGAGCGGCCCTCCCCGCTGCGGCCGCCCGCACAGGTGGAGCGGTGCGAACGGTGCGAACGGTGCGAGCCCTGCTGCCTTCCCTTGGGACGGAGTCCCTCCACCTCCCCGCTTGTCCCCGCCTCGCCCCCGGCCTGCAGCCTCTCCCAGCCCGTCCCCGGGCGGGTCACCCCGGCACAGAGAAGCCGCCGTCGGGGCGATGCGTCTCCCCGCTCCGCAGGCAGAGCCCCTTCTTCTCTTCTCTTCCCTTCCCATCCCATCCGAGGAGACACCGGGATCTGCCTCCGCTCCCCTCGGCCCTCCCCCTCGGCTTCCTCTCCTCTCTCTCGCCTTCTTTTTCTTTTTTTTTTTTTTTTTTTCTTTTTTTTTTTTTTTTTTCCTTTTTCCATCCCCTCCCCCGCCTGGGAAGACCTGACCGCTCCCCCCGCCCCGCGCTCAGTAGCCGCGGGCGCTGGGCGGCGGACGAGCGGCGCGGAGCGGGGAGCCGGGAGCCGGAGCCCCGGGGCTGCGGCCGCCCTCGCCTCCGTCCGTCCTGCGGGCTGCCAGGTACGACCAGCACCCTTCCTGGCATCGGCCTCTGGGCAAGAGGCAGCCCCCAGAGACCCGGGTGGGCAGGAGCGGAGCTGGGGACGGGGGCTGAGGGGCACCGGGCACTGCGAGCTAGCCAGCGTCTCTAAGGTGATAGTTTTCTTGCGATGTCATTCTTCCTACGCGGGTCGTTTTTAAAAAATGATGGGGCTGAGCGATGTCAGTACCTTGAGCTTGGCAGCTGAGATGTTTTGTATTAAGTCCCTGCCTCTTTAGCCTGATGCATATATTTTGATAGGGCTAAAACGCCACGCGTTTATCTGGTCCTTGTTTTTTCATATTTGAAGCCGGTTTCACAAGACGGCTTAACAAGACTGAGGCAAGGGGAATATTTATCGGGTTTTCGGGGATTTGTCTCTGTGCTGTGCCTTCTGCGGGGAGCAGACAGGGAGCCTCTTCACCTTTCAAAACAAACTCCTTTAATTCTGATTCATCCCCTCAGTATTGGGGCTACCATCTCCGCGCTCCTCTGGAATTGACAGTAATTTCATCCAGATTCGTCACTGCTGGAAACAGATTTATCTTGGAATAGCAAAAATAAAAGAGCTGTGCCAAGGTATTTAACTTTCAGGCTTTGTAGACGGGGAAACTCCTTCGGATCGGCGCGGAGAGGCAGAGCCTCCTGCGGAAAGCAGGACCAGGGAATGCCTAAGGAGAGATAAAGGCTTACTCCCAAATCCTCCTCTTCTTCCAGGACAGCCCTGTGCTTTCACACACAGGAGCGGCCGGCAACAGCGGAGAGGGCAGGGGGAAGGCGGCCATCCCGGCAAAGCCCTCCCGTCCCCGCCGTTCCTCCGCCCGGCTCCCGGTCCGTGCCCACCCGCTGCCGTCCCGGGGACGCCGCCCGGCTGGCAGGGCTGGACCCCCGGAGCCGCTCAGCAGCCGAGCAGCGGCCGGGGCGCGACCTCCTCGCCCTCCGTCCGCTCCCGGCGCGGCGGAGCCGGAGAGGATCCCGGCCGGGGAGCGCCGGGAGCGGCCGGAGGGAGCGGGGCCGGAGAGGATCCCGGCCGGGGAGGGTCGGGAGCGGGAGCGGGGCCGGAGAGGATCCCGGCCGGGGAGGGTCGGGAGCGGGAGCGGGGCCGGAGAGGATCCCGGCCGGGGAGGGTCGGGAGCGGCCGGAGGGAACGGGGCCGGAGAGGATCCCGGCCGGGGAGCGCCGGGAGCGGCCGGAGGGAACGGGGCCGGAGAGGATCCCGGCCGGGGAGGGTCGGGAGCGGGAGCGGGGCCGGAGAGGATCCCGGCCGGGGAGCGCCGGGAGCGGCCGGAGGGAGCGGGGCCGGGGCCGGGCGCGGAGCCGCTGCCGGCGCTGCGGGAGCGCCGCCCCGCGGCCGCGGCGGGCACTGCGCCGCTCGCTGGCGGTCCTTCAGTTCCCCACCCGTGGGATTTCAGAAATGAGCTGTCACGCCCGCCGTGTAAAATTAGTTCTTCCGATGAGTACTGAAGCTGCCTAAATTTTTGCAAGAGACAGGAGCCGCAGTGGTTTGGGGTTTTTTGGTTTTTTGGGTTTTTTTTCGCAAAACAGAGAGGAGGACAACATCCATACACCACTGTACACAGTGAGTGCATCTGGAGGAGATCAGGGGGAGCAGTGCTGGATGAGATTAGGGCAATGATTTCTTCCCAGGAGTGTGAGATAGCAAAAATTTGTTCTCTGTTTTGCTTTGTCAGAGTAGAACTTTGAATTCCTACTTCCAGGTCATTTCAAGAATAAGGCCAAAAGCAGCTAAAGGAGATGGTTACTATAGCAGCCTCTATTATTTTAGGGCCTAGAAATCTGATTTTAAATTGTGTAAGCCGAGTTTGAAAAGTGCCGACTTTCCTATAAGAATAAGGAAACCTTACGGTAGAGGATGCACTGAACAGACCAAGATAAAACACTGTCAGGAAGCTGGACTGAATTTTTCTTCTGTCTGAGCTACCCTGGCATGTAAATTTCTTCCGTGATAGCCTGAAGAGAAACCTATTCTAGTTTGGCTTGACTATAAGCTTTTCCTGAGCATCTGACATCTATTCAGCTGGAGTAAGGTAGGACAAAATATTTGAAGGATATCCTCAAAAATTAGGTATTTTTTCTGTGGATGCAGAAAGGTTTAATGTTGGAAGCAAGAAACTACAAAAGCTAAAAATAGTTTTACTTGTATGGATACACCTGGCAGCTGGAATGCCACCAAAGTTATCAGCTGAGTTTGGAAACTGCAGGAAGAATTTCAACATTTTCATATAGCTGGAGATCTCTCTCTTTCTGGTTTCCATCTTGTCTTCTCTCAAGTAATTCATCATACCTTAAAGAGCTGACTCAAGAATTCCAATTACTGTAAGCCAACCCAAAATCTGTATGGGAAAGAAGTGAAGGAAAGGAGAGGGCAGAACATCTTGGGGTGTGGAGGAAGAGTGCAGAACGGGTAATTGAGGGTTTTTTCCTTGCAATCAACTTGAAGCCTTCTCAGGACAATCCTCCTTCCCCTGGAGGCTGTATTCTCTCTCCCTTTCTCCCCCCCTGCCAAGTTATCTTTGCACCCATCTACACATTTCCATCCTCATCATGTGGCAAAAGGAGCCCTGTGTTTCCCTTTTGCCTGCAGCCTGTGCTGTGCCATGGCAACTGCTGACATTGCCCTTGCTTGGAGCTGGCCTCCTCGAAACAGCAGGGATGGGGTTAGTAAAGAGATCTTAAATGCATGGCTGGAAATGACAAAGCTGCCTAGCAGAACCACTGCTCTGGTCTGTAATGAGAATTACTGTGTTTATCAAGTTCCTTGAACTTCTTCCAGTTATCCTGAAGTGTAGTTAGTTCATTCCCAGTGACAAGTGGTTCATTATAAATGAAGAAAATCTTGGCTTCCAAGACTGCCTTTGTAAGTAGTGAGCACTTGAGTGTCGTGTTTCAAATGGAGGGCTCCAAGGCATCGATGGAAGGTTCTGTGCTTTGACTTTTTTTTTGTTTTAATAGAGTGGCAGAAGGGAGCCATAGTACTCCACCCATTTGCTTGAAGAAAGTCTCTCTATAAAGCAGACAGAAAAAATGGACTTCTCTATAAAGCAAATTATGAGATCATCTGGGAAGACATCAGCCATCACAGTGGAATAACATCAACCCAGACTTTCTATGTGAACAAGCAGTTAGTGACTGAACTTTCCTCAGGGCTCACAAAGTTCAGCTAAAGAGGAATACCAAATATCCAGACCCTTATGAAAAGCTGAAAAGGGGAGGAGTATTCTCGGGAAAAATAGAAAAAAATAATTCTCAAGCCTGGTATTAGAACTGTTTTGTTCAGCAATAACGGAACCAACACTTTGAAGGTAACTTTGTATATCAAAGTTAATGTTTAAATGTGCACATTTCTGCTATACCAATAAGCTAGACTGGTGTGAACAACTGGTGTCCCTCTACAAAATCTTTTGTCTGGGATGATTCCCCAGCCCTGCTTTCAAAACTTTCAGATATCTTTTTATGTGACCACATACACCCCAGAGCTCAGACCTGTGAGTCACTGTAATCTCCAGATGTCTTAGGAAAGTCCTCACATCTTCTCCAAAAACTGAGTTAGCTACTTTAAAGCCAGGGAGGGTTTCCTTGTATTGTGAGATGTGGTGTATATACATATATATATATATATATATATGTCTTAGTAAGTAGACTCCAGCTCAAAGTCGGTGTTCCATTCTGGCAAAGCTGAAAAGTGTAAAACTATGCTTAAACAAATCCAGCCTCTTCTTGGCATCAGAAGCCACAAGCTGTGGTTGAACTGTAGTGCTTTCTTAACAATAAAAAAAAATTATTATAGACAACAAATATGACTATAGGGTAAAGGTGCCTCAAAAATCATAGGAGCCACCGGTCCATTATACAGCTTTGAAAGCGATGTTCCCCACTTCTTTTTCCATATACTGGCTGTTTCACTGGAGAGCACCACTTCTACTATTCTAAACTAAAATTAAGGAAAGTGGTTGTGTTTGCCCTGGCCTACACTGCCATTGCAATATAAACCAGAGAGCTTAACCACATACAAATCCTTGAATTGCTTGGCTTTTAAAGTTTAATCATAGACCCTTTCTTTCTTCACTGCTGAGGTTTCCATGTAATTGGAATGAAGGATGTTGGAACTGAGCACGGGTTTCCCAGTGGCAGCTGCCAGTAGTTGGATAATACCACTGACATCAATGCTGCCAAAAGAGAAAAATGGTCTTTTCAGTAATGTTTTGAGTTCAGAATCAAGAATTCTGGGTTCAGTTTCTGGCTCTGCCTCAGACTTCTAACAATGTTACATTTCTCCTGCATGTTCTCAACTAGAGATGTGAATAATACTGCTTTTTGTCTTTCCCATTTGAAGTATTCACTGCTGGTATGGTGCATCACCCCATCTAGGTGGGGCATTCCACATGTGACCATAAGGCACGTTCCTACAGCACAGGTCCTACAACCTTTGTGGGATCCTGAAAATGTTACTCATGCGATGAGTAACCAGAATTAACCCTCCTACTCAGCTGAGCTTTGCTGCATGTAATAAAACCAGGAGGCTCCTCTCCACCAGCAACATTCTGCTTTCCTCATTTGTCTGTCTGTCCTAGAAGACCTTGGTTCCTTGGGACAGCAGTTAGCAAAGTGGCATTTTTCATACAGGCAAATTCATAGCTCTCCTCTGTGCGGGTAGTGGAGAACCATTGGTGACTTTTAAGTCAGCTAAAGCCACGTTTTGGCCATTACATAAAAGAGCACAATTGGTCTGCTTTCCCAAAGGTTCCTAAGTCTCATGAGTGTAGTCTGTCTCTCCATCTCAGCTTGGATCCCAACTTTTGAATGCACTGAGTGTTTCCAAGCGTGTTCTACCTTCTACTGTATAGCTATAGGAAAGAGAAGCAGAAACCTAATATGTAACTGCATACCTTTGGAATAAGTAAAATCAGGGTGTTCTGCTTTGGAATGAAGAAAACCAGGATGTTCTACCAAGTGGAATGACTCAGACTGCTGTTCACAGAGGGAAAAACAGGTAAAACTCAGCTGATTTCATCTTCCAGTAGGTAGCTCTGCATGGATGCTGGCTGAATTATCTGCATCCATCTTGCTAGAAACGATTGGAAGAGTTAGAGGCAAAACAGGGAATATCTGAGGCATTTCTATTTTGATCAGATTGTAGAATTCTATTCCACTGATGTCAGTTCTAAAATTGCATGATTATACTTAGAAGATATTAAGATAACTGTATGTATTTCCAAAGTGTATTTTCAAATCTCTCTTTCTTGTTTTAGAAAAAAATAAAATAAAATGGAGCTCATGTTACTGCTACTCATAATTTTCATACCTATGTTGGGTCTCAGTAATGGAACAGAAACTGAACAAGATTTTACTTGGCACTTAAAGAAGATTCCCCAGATTGTGAGAGAAAGAACTTTCTCCCTTGACAGCCCTAAATTTGAAGCAAAAACCAAATTAGAGCTGAACAGTGTATGTGGAATTGAATGTCAAAGGAAACTGCCAGTGCCAAGCTTGTCTGACTTGAAGAGCCTCTTATCCTATGAGACTGTTTTTGAAAACGGCACACGGACCCTGACTGAAGTGAGTGTCCTCGGAGCAGTGCCTGACCCAGCTGCAAACACAACCAGACGAAGGCCTTTGAGGAGGAAGAGGCAGATATATGGGACAGACAGTAGGTTCAGCATCTATGACAAGAGGTTCATGACCAACTTTCCGTTCAACACAGCTGTGAAGATCTCCACGGGCTGCAGTGGCATTCTCGTTTCCCCCAAGCACGTGCTCACAGCAGCCCACTGCCTGCACAATGGCAAGGATTATGTCAAGGGCAGCAAAAGACTGAGGGTGGGCCTGATGAAGACGAAATCCAGAGGCAACGGCAGGAAACGCAAAGGTGCTAAAAGAAGTAGGAGAGAAATTTCTGCGGCCAAAGAGGATCCCAAAGCCGCCTCAGAATTAAAGCGACCATCCAAAGGCGATGAGAGAAAGCAGAGGGGATCTGGGAGGAAGCAAGGGACCTCAGATGGCATGCCCTCCTTCCAGTGGACCCGGGTGAAGAGCACGCACATCCCCAAAGGCTGGTTTAAGGGTGTCTCTGGGGATATTGCCCTGGATTATGATTATGCTGTTCTTGAGCTCAAGCGTCCCCACAAAAGGAAATACATGGAGCTGGGAATCAGCCCAACAATCAAAATGATGCCTGGGAGCATGATCCACTTCTCAGGTTTTGACAATGATCGGTCTGGGCAGCTGGTCTATAGATTTTGTAGCATTTCTGATGAGTCCAATGATCTGTTTTATCAGTACTGTGATGCTGAGCCTGGCTCCACAGGATCTGGCATCTATCTCCGTCTGAAGGAGCCAAACAAAAAAAAGTGGAAACGCAAGATCATCGCTGTTTACTCAGGCCACCAGTGGGTGGACATCAATGGTGAACAGCAGGATTACAATGTAGCGGTACGAATTACTCCTCTCAAATATGCCCAGATTTGCTTCTGGATACATGGGAATGATGAGAATTGCACACAAGGCTGAAGAGAGCCGAGCCTCAGTTCTGCTTAGCACCCTCACTGCCATAGAGTGAAAGGCGACAGTGACTGGAAGAACATCACTCCACGCCAGAACGTTCTTGAACTCAAAGCTCGCAAGTAGTGCTATGGTGACTTAAGGGATGCTAAATTTCTAGGGGAGGGGTAGAATTGTCAGACAAAGTATTTCTAACTGTAATCAACCTAGATACACACTTAAAATCCCAAACTATATTTATGTTTGCAATTGTGAAAATTCAAGTCATTTGTGAGGAAAAAAATGGCTGCACCTGTTTGTCATTTTTTTCCCCAGAGGAAGGGTTGAAACATCTCAAACTGGTGTTATTAAGCAATATCTATTTTTTTGCAATGGATTTACTTTTCTCAGGGTTCTGTTCCAATTCTTCAAATGCAAGTTGTGCATATAGCATGTTCCTGTATGTGCAGAATGAACTGCATGAGAGCAAGACATTATTCTGGCATTCTCTAAAGACCACAGGTCTGTGTTGAGAAGCAGCACTATAGCTGATGATGGTTAGTTTGGAAAACTTCCTCTTCTGGTTGCTGCAGGAACACTCCCATGGAAATTCCAAATTTATGTAGCTGAGGGTTACACCTTAAAGAAAAATTCACTCCATTGCTCAGTAAAAACAGCAAAAGAGAAACTAACAAAAAAATAGTTTCTGTGTTTGGAAGAAGAAGACATGTTTAGACATATTTAATGCCTTTAAATGTTCTTAGAGAAGCTATAGAAATCTTAAACACATGCATTTGCCTTCCAATCAATATTTGGAGAGGTGTAGGTTTAGTTTCTAGTCAAATGTTTAGCTTTACCCTTGGGAGAAGTCACTGACTCCCGAAGTGGCTACTTGACAATCATTTGGAGCTTCACAGATGATATATTTTCTGGGTGCTAAACATTTCTTCAGTTTTTATAAATTACTTTTATACAAGTTCAGCTTCATAGATAGGATAGTATGTGTTAGACTGGGAGTTGGAAATCAATATTTTAGTTTGGCTTTATACAGTTTTGCAAAGTGTGTGGTTTTAATCATGTTATATTCAGATTCCACCTCAACATGATTCACAGGGTTAACTAAAAATTTCTCCCAACTAAATTATAGCACCTTCTGAATGGTAGAACTATCCTGTGCTTTATAAAAGGTATTTTGTTAGATAGCAGCAGTAGTTAGCAAATAATTTGGTTCAATATGTTTGCAGAACCATGCATTTAATGAAGACACAAACTGAGCTTGACTTTTATACACCTTTAAACACAAACCACCTTCTTAAAAACTGTTGTTGATTGCTATGTAAGTTTATATCTTTTATTTTATGTCAAGATTTTGAAGTACACAGAATTCTTATGGTGCTACATTAATAACATAAAAACATACTGTGCCTTTCTGATCATATCCTTTGGGTTTCAATACTTTCAGAGTATTCACCACTGTATTATTTAAATTTTTTACCATAAATTTATGCTGACCAAAATACATTTTCTTCCTGTGCAGGAGAAAAAAATACAAGATTTTAAAATTTTTTTTTTAATCTTTAAAACATGCTTTTGATGATATAACATGGTTTTAAATAACCCTTTTTTTTTTGGTATATGGTTGAAAGTGTATAACCTGACATACTGAATGTGCAGGCAACTTTGTCCTATTATTGCCAAAGCACAAAAATTTAAGACTTGCTTCCATATCATAACCTAACGATATTTCATTCAGTGGAAGAGATCTCACTTTAAAGGAGACTATTTCTTTTAATGCCAACCTTTCCAGGAAATACTCAGCTTTCCTTCCTTTATTATGTTTTAATTTTATTTTGTGTGATTGTTTGCAGAAAACTAATAATAATTTTTAAAGTTTAGAAATAAATCTCTAAAATTTTAGGGTTAATTATTTCTTATTGTTGTTAACATCTCTATTAACATATGTGGCTTTGCTGACAGTAATTTTAAATCACCTCAGTCCAGTATTTAATACTCTTGCTCTATGCAACAGATTTATAGTATCCTTTAGTCAGGTCTGCAACGTTTTTCTTAAGTGCCTTTTTCCATAGTTACTGTGACAAATAAGGTACCACATCATTAATCTAATACAAGACAACCCAGGTCCATGGATTTTTTTACAATTATTGTCATTGTTGATTTGGGTCCAAAACTGATCAAGATAAAGGGGCCTTAGTAAATTCCTTGTTTTGTTGAGTCTTATTTAGGTGTACTCCTCCTCAGAAGAAATAAAATCTATATCTTTATCACTTTGGGAATTGGGAGCAAGGTAAGAATGAAAAATGTGTGATGTCAGCTTCCAAATAGTCTTCTTATAATAATCATCTGTTGTAAATATCTCAGCTGCAACCTGAGGTTTCCATACCAGGTTGATAAAAACTTTCTTTTCAGAGAATAAGTACTAGATGCTCATTCTGTAGTACTAAAAGATTAAAGAGGTTGGCCAGAGCAACATAAAAATTAATTTCAATCAAACAAACAAACCTCTGTGTCCCAGTGCCCATGCACAAACACATGCAAATACACAGGCTTGGAGACCATGGATGTTTTGACTGACTTTTGTGTGGTCAGCACCTTCAGGCCAGGAATGCAGGTAGAAGAAGACACAGACAAAATGCTTTTCCTGTTGCCTCAGCAGGCTAGGCAACATTTTTGTCTCCCGCTTGGCCTAATAGAGAAATAAATGCTTTATATAGACATTGTGACTACCTACTACAGGGACTTCAGTTCATAAATCTAGTACTTACACATAATCCCAGGAATTCAACATCCTGCAAAGAGCTCTTGGTACCCATTACTGCAAGTGGGACAAAAATTGTTGAGCCATCTCAGATTTTCTTAAAAACATGCAGTTATTATCTAGTTACCAATGAGAAAATATGAGGAGGAAAATATGATCCCAGTAGATTAGATCCTGCTGTTGTCTAGGATATCCGCAGGAAGGCTGGGTTTCCAGCCCTTCTGATGTTTCCCTAAAGGATTTTTCCTCTCTCAGGTACCAGGCTGTACATCACTTTTTAAATCAGTACCAATTCTTTTCCATAAGTGTTTGTATAGTAGATCTTTTTATTTAACTGTATTCCTGACTTAGGAAAAAACAACTTCAGTCAAATCTCTTTTCTCCTAGAGGGCTACTGGAATTTATAAAGTCAACAAGTAAGTTTTTTTCAGGGCCAAAGATAAACCTCATATGCAAGCCATTAACACACCCAGACCAGCTTCTACAAGGTGTTTGTGCATGTGTTTAATCTGAGGCTCTGAGACACAGAGGGATTATCTGCAGTGTGAAAAATTAAGTCAAAGTTGTATTAACAAAAGAAAAGCACAACATTATGTAGGGAAATGATTTCTGTTATATGAGGTAAAGAGTGGCCAATGTTTTAATAATTGCTTAAAGAAACTCCTCGACTCCTTAAGATTTACCATCTTAATTTTGCAGATTTATGTGTCTATATGGAGTGTGAATCAGCATAAAATGGCTTAAATAAAAAAAAATACCCTCATCCACATGTGGAGGAGAGAAGCAGCTGGGGAATTCTTTCTATTCTGCTGATAAGGGATGACCTGGCAGCAAATAGCAAAAAAAAAGAGAAAGAAAGAACAAGTAGATGGTATGAAAGGGCAGGAAGATGGAGATGGTATGCTAGGAATAAAGAAAGTGTGCAAAGTAACAGAGGAAATGGCTGCAAGGTAGCAGAGGCACCTATTGTGAGAAAGAGTAGGCAGATGGTGGACACTTAATAGTATTAATTAAGATGTGAAATTCACAAGTTCCATGATAATTTTTCACTGTTAAAGATAAGGCATTTCTTCCCAGCCAACAGCAACAGGGAAAGGGCTGTGAGAGGACTCAGGCTATGGCAGGGCCTGCTAGCAGGCAGGGGTTTTAATCCTGACCTACAATCCATGCCTGAATTTGCAGGGATTATGCTTCTGTTCATTCAGGGTCCTTGGAAAGCAGCAATCTGTGTTCTGACCAAAAAGCTTGGCAGTATGAACCTCCCAGTAGACTGGATCACCAAGAATGTAGTGAGTAAAGGGAGTTTCTCAAACCTGACCTTTTTTTTGGGATTCCTGTAAAGGCTGTTCTCCATTGGGAAAAAAAATGAAGCAAAAAAATCTCAGGCTTAAGGCATTAAAATGTTGGCTCAATTTTTTTGCATGCATCTAGAAATTCTAGGCAATAGATTTTTTTTTTCAAGTGTCTTCTGTTTGTGTTTGGCATCCATAGAAATTTAATCAACTGCTTCCAATTTTAAAGCACAGATTATTGCAGATAGTTCCATCTACAAATTCCTGGATTAAAGAATGACGGGGGGAAAAAAAAGAATGTTATTAAATTGAAAGCTTAAAATTTCACTCTAATCTCAAAGGATTTGGAAGTATATTTTGGTCCCCTTTGCACCAGTCTTTTGCTCCAAGTGTCAGAGCATTTTGATTAAAAACATCCAGAAGTAGCTTTGAGGACTCTTTCAGGTTCTTTGCTTTTTTAAGACTGACAGAAAACTTTAGAATGTTTTTAACTGTGCAAAATGACAAGCCATTTGAGAAAATAAATGCAAACCTTTGCTCTGTTATTATATGATGCACTTATTCTGTCAATAAATATTTTCTGATGTTTTTCTTTTCCTCTGTCATGATGTAGTTTGTTAGCCATGGTTATGTTACACAAACTTCATTCTCTAAGTGCCTGTAATGATTTTTTAGTGAATCATCTGGGACTTGGTCTTACAAGATATTAATGCCTCTTTAAACTTGTTCTGGGAAAAAAAAAAAACTCCCTGTCTTCAAGATAATTACTCCATGAGCAAATTTGATGAGTAAAAAAATTTAGTTCATCGAGGAAATGACTCATAGTCTATGCCGCAAGTCATTAATTCTAAAATAAGTAATTAGTTGTGTTTCTGCTATTTGCTATAGTTGCACTTTCTGCCTTGGAGAGCTGTTGAACAAGGCCAAATAAGAAGTATGTAAAATATTATCATCTTGGTTCTTAGAATTATCTTAACTCTGTGCCCTCAAAACTGGTGCTGATTTTATCTCTGAGGGTAAAAGGAGAGATTTTTGGCAAGCTGCTGGAAATATTTAATGGAAAGTTAAGAAATTATTGCACCTGTAATTAACAGTGTGTCTAATACAATCAATATTTACCAGGGGTCTGACAAGGGCTTGCCCACTAGCTCTTATATGGGGAGAAGTAAGTGCCACAGGGAAATAAATAGGATTGAAAGCTTTTTGACATGGAAAAAAAGTCCTTTTGGGGCTGCTAACAGGATCTAAATCTTTTCATTGCTGAAATCTACTTTTGGCCATGATCTGGGCAAATGCCTTGGTGCCTGAGAAATGTCTCTCAGCCTCCATTTAGGGAACACAAGCAGAGACCCAGGGGTGACAGCTGTGTCCCCTGCAGGCCATTCCCAAGCCACTGGCACGGATGTGGTTTCTTTGGTGGAAGATCCATTCCAACAATCCCTTGGGCTTTGGGGAGCTTGAACTGGAATCTTATCCAAATGTCTATTCAGCCCTAAAACGTTCCCATACAACCCAGGTCCTTGTGCAGGTATTTTCCAGTCATACTCCCATTTCCCATAGTGTTTAACAAATGTTCAAAAAGCCTTCCCCAAATATCAGACATGCAAATCATCCAAAGAGGTAGCACCTTATGCTGTTTATTATGCAGGTATTCCTGATGAATCATTCATTCCCTCTGTTTCAAATATGTCTTTAGATCTTGATAATGGCTAATCCTTCACTCGTTATTGCTAAGAAAAGAAATCAGATATACTGGAAAAGCCACATAAATATTTACTTGTGCCTCTTGGTAATTGTGTACACATCATACTTTTTGCAGTTGCTATGGCTCTACTTCTTTTTCATGTGAAAGAGATTGAAAACTTTGGATGAAACCATATTGGGCTGGTTTTCAGACAAATTACTCAGCCGCCCTTTGGCTGCAGTTGCAGCATTCTCCCACCCCTCTGCTCCAGTTTAATTTCCAAATTTATGGATAAAATGCTGTTTAAACTTTGCTTTATCAAGGATGAAAGCAGCCAGGAGACAGCACAAAGCAGTGGAGCCTTTGTGGCTTTATCTCACTGTGGACATTTTGAAGCAGAGAGAAGAAGAGGACAAGAGAAGGCAAAGGTGAAGCCCATGAACAGCAGTGAAAAAATCAGTGCCTTGCTGAATGGGAGAAAATGTGATTTCTGTTTTTTCTTTTTCAAAGGTAACACTAGTTTTTGTATTTACAATTATTTTGTGTTTTCTTGAATGATTCATGAGTTAAGTATTTTTGGCTCTGTACAGGAATGAACCAACGGTAGTGGGGATACAACATGGCCTTGAACGCCAGCAGGGACCTCCCCTCCCCAAAACACACACACACTAAAAGAATGCTAAATTACCCCAAAGGGAATTACTAGTAGTACAAAAAGGGAGCAAAAGTCACCTCTAAGAAAAGTACCAATGAAATATTTGGGAAAAAAGTTTATGCATAAAGGCAATGGAGGCTTTATAGCTACGTGTGGTATATGGGTTTTTCTGCACATGTCTGTGCAGGACATTGATGCATTCTAGAGCTGTGCTGAGTCACATGGTGAAAGAAAATCCACCTGCTGGTTGTCTGTGCCACCACCAACCCTCAGCAACAGGGACCTACTGTGCTACCAAACTCTCACTGCTTATTGTGAGTTTGGGCTCAGACCACTCATAAACAGTGGATGTGAACAGAGCCCTCCAAGGGTGTGGCCACTGACATTTTAGGTTTTATACATTCTGCTTTACATCTACATGGAGGATGTATGAACCCATTTTTAATAACAGTGAGTTGAAACACTAAGCTCTTGCAAAACAAATGCTGCATCACATTCTCCTCTCATTTACAATGCTTAGTCTTGAAGGGAAATTTGACCCATCACATAATGTATATATTTACTTATTGTAGAACATTATACACTAGCCATTTGTGACTCATACATTTATTTTTCTGAAAGAAATAAAAAGGAAATCAATACTCAAAAGGGAAAGTAGCTTTGTCAGTGTTCAATTTACTGCTCAATTTTTCTTCCTTGCTTGCCAATTAACCTGGTAAAACAGTGATCTGTGATCCAATAATGCTGCTCATTCAATTGAGGTGCTCGAGTCCTTCACTTCTTGAAACTGATTTTTCCTTACCAGTTCAGACTAGACAAAATCAGGCATCTGTGAGAAAACAGTGTTCAAAAACTTTAAAAAACCCACAAAAACAGCTGCTACTAATTGCATTTCATTATTTCAAATCAGTTCCCAACTTCATTTCATTCTTTCCTGCGTAATTTGGATTGTTTCTAAGTGAGAGAGAATTTCACTTTTAAATTTTTTTAACTGTGCCCATTTTGGATTTTCACCTAATTTTCTACTCTAGCACCAAACACCTGGAATTAAATTAAATAATGCCCCAGCATTGCTGTATAACAAGGAGATTGGGTTGCTGTTTAAGAGAAGCCACTTCAAGTTGCTATTAAGGTAACAACTGCAAACAGAGAATGAAAGACAAAATCACTGAAAGCAAATCAGTGTTCACAGCTCTGAGACAACACATCAAATCTGGAGCTGACCTTGGGAAATGCTTTTGTAAGCTTTGAGTCGACATAAACACAGACTGCCAGCTGAAGGAACAAACTTGTGACATCCTTACAAAACAACTCTGGGAAACCCTGACAGCTCCTCCTGCCACAGATGCTGATGGAGGGAGAAGCCACTGGCTCTGGACCCCAGCAGCAAGGAAAGGGTTTTATCTCCTAGGCACATCCTGGTCTCCAGAGGAAACTGATTTAATTTCACTGGTTTAAATGACTGCAAAAATAGCAATGATTTAATGCTATTAATCAAGTTATACTAACTGGGCTGCAAATGGCTCCTATCACAAGGTCCACTGTAATGACAGTTTCAAATAAAAAGCAAACAATCCCTGACATGGAGATCTGCCTGTGTGGGATCCACATGTGCTCAGAAATTTGACAGAAACTTGGTTGGTAGCTGGCTGTGGGTGAGGTTTATTACAGCAGTTATTTGAGCCTACAGCTAAGGTAATGTCTTGTTGCAGCAGCACAGGCTCCTAGGGCTAATCCAAGGGCAAAGCCTGGAAAAGGGCAATTATAGATGTTTCAGAAAGGTCTTGCAGCATTTCTTTATGTACCATTTGTGAAAGAGAACATCACAGCTCTACAGAAATTGCAGAATCTCCATACTCCAGTACGTACAACCCATGCTGGCCCTCATGTGCTCCTCTCTTGCCACAGCTGTCAGAGCCCACATCCACAGCCAAAATTACACACTCCTGGGACAGAGGCAGGCAGCCACCTACTTTTCAAGGCCACAATGTAATTTTCTTTTTTTTAAAGAAAAGGCTAGGCTTCCAGGTAAGTATTTTTAAGCACATAAGAAGTCACATTTCTAGATCCAGAAGCCAAGTCCCTCTTC